CCTGTCCTGGTTGCCCCTGTGCTTGAGCTCTCATCCACTTTGCCCACTTCTTTAACCAAGTTAGCTCAGTCTAGGCCTTCTGATTTCACCTTACCTCACTTTCTCTGAGCCTATGGGCCACATCCCTTTCTTGAATGCTAGTTTTTCCAGCACTGTGTTGCTTTCCTTCATAGGAATTAGCTTCATTTCTGAGAGTGCACATCTACCTGTGATAATTTAATTAGTGTGTTTCCCTTGCAAGACCATCAACTTCATGAGAACAAGGAGCAACTTGTCTGTTGACACTCCCTATGTCATTCTTATGCTAGAAAGTAGGCTTTGAGTGGAATTTTCTGGTTGAATAAAGTAATTAATACTTGTTCCTGGAGTTACCACACCTCCTGATGGTCACCTCCCCACTTCCCAGGCAAAGGGTCACCAAGAGCCACACCATGGCTTCTCTGCACCCCCAGAACTCGTCCCAGGGCTTGGAGTGTGCTGTCTTCCTGGCCGATTTCAGCCCATATAAAGGGCCTACTCCCCCCTTCTTCCACCTTGGCATCAGAGATGTACCAACTAGTCTTTCATCCTCACCTTATTCATTTCCCTTTGGTATCATTTCGTCCAGTCTTTGTAGGACTCACCATTTGGGCTGATAAATAGTAATGGTCATCCTTCCTTGGGATCAGCTGTACTCGGGACACATGTACTAGTGGTTATGTCTGGAAGAAGGATAAACTAGATCACTCCCTGTTTAGGGAGCTACCCTTTTGCTTTCATACCTCTCAGGTAGAGTAGGAGGCTAGGTGAATAGCAGTCCTCTGGAATAGACCTCGGCAGTTGCCTTAGCTCACACTGTTGGTCTTTGTCTAAAGTATTCAGTCCACTTTTTTGAAGAACATCACTTCTACTGTCTACACTCAGTCATTGACCATGGGCACACTCCACATCAACTTATCGACACTTAGGGCCAACCTATGAGCTCTGCTGTGACCACTCCTGTCAACTTGGAGCAGAGCCTCCCGAGAATTGAGAATCACTCAACTCACTGGCTCCTTCCAGTTCCCCTTGCAGTGCCACACCACCAGATGGCTTCGTGTGGCAGGAAGCTAACCTTGACTCCCCTCACAATGACACCCCTAACCTTGAGGGTATCGTTGGTGCCATCCTGCCCCCCTCACTCACCCTGGCTACAGTGCAGGTCGGAGGTGCAAGCTGTGGCTGAGGAAATGCTGGAGGACCCATGGCCACAGGTCAGCTCCCCCTGCATTGCGGGGGTCGAGCTGCGGTGCCCACCAAGTAAGAGCCGGCATGCTGGTATGGCATGTGGTTAGGTTGTGGTTGTGGATCCCGCACTTACTGACTGTGGATTGTAAACAACTTAATCAACCTCTTGAGTCCTCAGTTTTCCTCATCTTTGAGGATTTCATGAGGTACTTGATGTTTGGTGCTTGGTTGTAAGGATTTGGCTGGTCCTAGGTTCTGGAGCAGGCAGAGTGAAGACACTCACCTCTGGAGGGGAGGGTCTGCAGAAGTGGAGGATGGGGGAAAGGTAGAGCAGAGGGGAGCTCCCAGGACCTACTCCAGGGCTGGGGCTGTCCCTCAGGGCCCAAGGGACTGGGCTTAGTTTGCTTCCCACACCTACTGGGTATTTATGTGTCTCTTCCTTCTTCTCTGTTCTTCCTTCCTCCCTCCCTCCCTCCTTCCCTCTCTCCTTTCTTTTCTTCCTTTCCTTTCCTTTCCTTTCCCTTCCTTCTCTCTCTCTCTCTCTCTCTTTCTTTCACTTTGAATCACCTCTTCTGTCTGATACTTCCAGAGTACTTTACAGTGTGAGTGTTTCAGTGATGTCATTTTTGGTCTCATACAAGATGTGCGGCTGCTGGTTGCTCATGCTTATGACCTAAAACCAGTCTAAGTCACTGGAGGTGACAGGCTGAGGTGTATACCAAAGCCAGGCAGGCACAGGATGGTAACAGGAATGTGGTGCAGGCAGAAGGGGTCTGTGATGATGTTACCAGCATCTGGGCCAGCGCCCAATTCTGGGTCCAGCAGAGGGCTGTACCATCAAGACACTAAACAGTCTGACAGCCCCTTGCCTCTCCCCAGACCATACAGGAAGAGCTAAGTGGCTCTGAGTTGGTGTCCACTGAGTGTGCCAACTGGTATCCACATGGCAGAGCCCAGGACAGGAAGTCAGTGTCCCTGTCACACAGGACAGACATGCTGTGCTGCCTGCCTCCCAGCCTGGCACACCATCTCCCACTCTTGTTCAAGAGGCTTGGGATCTGACCTGGCCCCTCTGTTCTCTCAACCCACCCATAGCAAGGAAGGCCACCTGACACCCCTTGTGAGCCTAGTCATACCCCCAAAGACAATCTGGAATAATTTGGACTATCCTGACCTTGGTCTGGACTGCTTACAGAAGACTGGCACCAAGTTGGCCTGCCTGTGGGTTCTGTTCCCACCTGGCACCTCCATTCTTGTGACTGGGTTTCTGGCTTTTGCTAAGGCCCTTCATACGCCTGCACCTGTGATCCCTGCTCAGAAACTGGTCTTCATAGAACTCGGCTTTGGCCTGCATCACTTCTCCTTAGCTCCCCAAACTGGAATCTATCCCTTGAATCTCCCTTTCCCCATCTCTCTGTGGAATTATCTATCCATCTACGTATTTATTTTTGTCACAGCTTTGTTGAGCTATTCACATACCATTACAATTCACCCACTTAAAGTGGGTGGTTTGTACACTCACTCAATACAACTCAGTGGTTTTTAGTATATTCAGAGAGTTGTTCAGTGATCACCTCAATCAATATCAGAACATTTTTATCACCCTAAAAGGAAACCCCATACCCACTGGCACTGGCCACTCTACCTTCCTCCAACCCCAGGCAACCATCAGTTTTCTTTCTTTCTCTATGGATTTTCTTATACTGGACATTTCATATAAATGGGATCATGTAATATACTGTCCTTTGTGACTGGCCCCTTTCCCTTAGCATAATGTTTTCAGGGTTCATCCATAGTGTAGCACGTGTCAGTGTTTATTTTATTGCTAAATAATATTCCATTGTATGGATATACCATTTTTGTTTATCCATTCATCAGTTAATAAACATTTGCCTAATCATAGGTCATGAAAATTTGCCCTTACGGTTTCTTCTAAGAATTCTACAGGTTTTGCTCTTACATTTAGGTCTTTGATCCTCTTCAAGTTAATTTTTGTATATGTTGTGAGGTGGGTGGTAAAAATTCTTTCCTTGGCATACTGTCTGGCACAGTTTGTTGAAAAGACTATTTTCCCCCCATTGAATTGTCTTGGCACCCTTGTTGAAAGTCAGGCAATTATAAATGTGAGGGTTTATTTCTAGACTCTTGATTCTATCCTATTGTCTGTCCTTATGCCTGCACCACACTGTCTTGATTATAGTAGCTTTGTTGTACGTTTTGAGATCAGAAGTGGAAGTCCTCCAGTTTGGTTCTTTTCAAGGTTTTCTGAGTCCCTGGTATTTCCACATGGATTTTAGGTTCAGTTTGTTAATTTCTGCAAAGAAGCCATCTGGAGTTTTGATGGGGATTGTGTTGAGTCTTTAAATCAATTAGGGAAGTTTTGCCATCTTAACAACATTAGGTCTTCAAATCCATGAACATGGGATGTCTTTCCATTCATTCCCTGAATCTCGAAACTGCCCAATGCTGCATACCTGTGCAACTCTGTATCTTTGCATATTGCCCACCCCTGGAAATTCAGCCACCGGGTTTTGCCCTGTAAGGTCTCTTACCCCTATTCCCCATAGGCCTTTATCCATATTTGCCTCCCTGACTTGGCTTCCTTCCACTGTCAGCAACTGTCATGCCAACCCGTGGGGGCACCTAATTGTCAGGTCCCAAATCAAACTACTCTGGACCACCCACTGTCTACCAGTCTCTTAGCTCACAGTCTCCTCCTTGAAGATGAGGATTCATGGTTATGGGGAGAATTTTCCATCTGTGTCATTTCCCTGTGGTGCAGCCAGAGTTGGGAAGTGGACACAGAAGATCACACACATGTGGAAACTTGCAAGAGGGTCCCAGTATCCTGGAGGAGGGGATCTGGGAGACTAAAGGTAGAGGTGGCTTGAAGTATCCCAGGTTGGGACAACCAACGTTGTCTGTGCTGATTGGGTCAGCTCACCAGCACACACTCATTTATGGAGAATATACAGGATCCTCATGGCAGGACAGTAGCATAGGTCCCTGAAACCTCTCTGTGTCCTCTCTCCCCACCAGGACCAGGAAGTTTATTTCCACAAAGTAGTCCTTCTTGACAATCAGAAATGCTTTATTTTTCCTGGGACTGAGAAAAATTGGGTAGTTCAACTTTCCCCCACAAGCAGGGCCTTCTGAGCCTGGATGTCTGCCATGCCCATGCAGAGACTGGCAAGTGTCACTTCCCTGGGCTTTTGCATCCCTCAAGGCAACTGCCATTTCAGCCTTCCACCTGAATATTCCAGCAATAACAAGTGATGCCTGTACATGATAACACTGGGGCAAATGCTTCCAGAAGGCTGGGCATCTGTGCTCTTAGGACTCCAAAATAGAGTCTATTAACAATGCATAAGTAGACCGTTGTACACTTTGTGCTGATATGAATAAAGATGGGTTGTTTTTCAGTTTGAATTTTCTGTTCTAGGTCTGCAAGGCATAGCTTCAGCAGGTGGGAAAGAAAACCTCCACGGGGGCCAATTGTTCACTACTGAGAACTTAAGAAAACCAATGCATCACCAGGGGTACCTTAGGTTAATGGTCCTCTGTTACCCAGAGCTCTATTTTAATATCCTAAACTATTATATCTAAAAAAATTCTTTGACACCTTTTATCCAGTTTAGGTTAATCTACATTGCAGTAACAGACAAACCCTGAAATACATTAGAATGTATTTCTCACTCATGATAAGTCTCCTGACCATTGCCTTGGGGCCTTGGGGAGGGGCAGTGGCCTCTAAGAATTTCTCTGTCCAGCTGATAAAGTCCTTGTGCCTCCAGGTGTGGCTCTGCGGGGGCAGCATGGAGGTCCTGCCTTGCTCACGAGTGGCCCACATCGAGCGGAAGAAGAAGCCTTACAACAGCAACATTGGTTTCTACACCAAGAGGAATGCCCTCCGGGTTGCGGAGGTCTGGATGGATGATTACAAGTCTCACGTGTACATAGCGTGGAACCTGCCACTAGAGGTAAGGGGCGCAGCCTTCCCCATCACCCTGGACCAGTGGTCCTTGGTTTGACGGGTCACTGATCCCTTTAATCAGTTGACGGTTCCTCCCCAGAAAGATGCTTACACTTGCAAAAATTTTAAGAGTGTTTTGAGGGGTTTTGCAGACCTCCAGGTGGTAGAACCCCTACTTTACATGGGGACTGGCACAGTGGAGATCTCAAAATTCTTTTACAAAGAGTAGAGGATCTTGTTGTGTTATCCCAGCCGTGTTCTAGTAATCCGAGTGCCCTGCTCCTGAACAAGCATTGTATCCAGGAGACTCTCGAGCAAAGGTCTTGGTACAGGCCCCCATCATTTGCTCTGACTTTGTGCCCTCCCCTGGACCTCCAGCTGCCCCCAAGACATATGCCCCTACTGTTTACATGATTCTTCAAGTCTCCTCCATATCCTGCCCAGAATACTGAAGCCCCACAGGAGTATTGCATGGTGCCTGTACACTAGCTTGGTTGGAATCCTGCTCTACCACTTACTCGTTATGCAGTCTTGAACAAATCCATTTATCGCCTCTGTCCCTTAGGTTCCTTGCCTAAAAACAGCGATAATAGCAAGTCCTCTTTCCTAGGGTGATTGGGAAAACTAAATCTAAAGTACTTGCTTAAGTAGTAAGTACTAAGGTACCCAATCTAAGTACTAGAGTACTCAGTTTAAGTTCTGAGTCCTGAAATGCTCATTATAGGTACTTAGGTCCACAGCACAGTGGGCTGACCAGCACCCTCAGCCATGCCCTGAGAGAGTTGCCTGGAATTGTTCCCACTGAGAATTGGCAGCCCCTGTGTTTCAGGAGGCTGGAGCCCAGAGCAGCAGAAATGTAGTTGAATATGTGTAAGAATTATAGATAAAGAGAATAAAAGTGAAGAATGTTTATCATACCGTTACAGTTATTGAAATAATGTTCTAAAGCATTGACAGTCCCTTACTGCCATGCAGCACTTTATAGATGTTAAGCCAGAAGTGATTCTACACATGATTATTTATATAAACATAGGTAATACTTGCTGAGTCCTTGCTATGTCCCTGGTGCTTGGCAAGTTCCTTATTTGCAATATCTCATTTAGCCCCCATAACAGCCTCCTGACATAGTTTTCTATGCCTCAGTTTCATCATCTGTAAAACAGGGATTGTTAACACTAAGCATTTCTTCATTCTCATGAAGATAAATATAAGGCTTAGAACAGAGCATAGCAAATATTAAGGAATCAATCAATAAATGCTAGCTTGACCTGGACCTATGTGCTGTCCATTTTACAGATGGGCAAACTGAAGCTCTGGGAGGTCAAACATGACTTGCTTAACATCCTACCCATAGCATATGGCGGGGCAGGGATGCAAACTCACATCTTTATTCGACTCTCCCCACAGCCCTGTGGACATCAGCACAATAGGTATTGTCATTCCTGCTTGTGGGTGAGAAGTTGTGACCTACAGTGGCATTGTTACTCAGTCCTAAGAGTTCAAGGCTGCTGGCTCTCTCCCAGTGCTTTCTCCAGACAACCTCTGGTCCCTGATGCCAGCAGTACCCTCCTGGGCTTTTCGACAATGGCCATTCTCTTTTGTTATGCTTAAGCATGTTAAAACCAAGAGTTAAGATATCACTGTCCAGGATTGCCTTTGGGTCTTAAAAGTTTTACATTCAAAGGGATTTTCCTTTAAAATCACCATTTGGCTGTTGAAAGAAGAAATCTTAATGGAATAATGTGAACTCTCCCTGGCCCCCAAGTTGCTGCCTGGCTGTCCGCCATTCTAGAGACAGCACCCCATCCCTCCTGGGCCACAGCCATCTTGTAGCAGAGTCTGTGGAGTCGTATTTCAGCTACTCTATTTTCCCCTGTCAGCACACGGCAGCCCATTACAGGTTCATTTCTGTAAAAGCAGAGTGAATTATTCATTAGAACATCATTACAAGCTTTGCCATGGAAAATTATTTTCACTTCTGTGTATAATGAACTTCACAAAGAGCCAGCAAAGGGGGAAAGCACACTTGTAGGGAGCAGAAAGACAGGAGGTGGTTATAGGCATTTATTTCCTTGTCTTAATCAAATAATTCCTCTAATAATTGGCTCTGAGAGTTGCTGAGGATGTGCGGGAGAGACGGAGCTGGATACGTAGGTTGTTAACATCTGTGTGTCCCAGGGTCCCTTTCGTGTGGTGACAAGGATGGTTGACTTTGGGGGCTGCTAGCTGCACTCAGGGGACAGCGGTCTAGCTTGGGGCTCTATGATCAAGTGAGTCCCCTTAAACCTACTTTCTAAGCAAGCGTGCAGGACTTGAGGTTTCTCCCTGATGGTTTCTTTGAAGGCCACCTGTCCTCTCCTCTGGCCAGGATTCCCCCGTCACAAATGTTCCTTGCTTATCTCTACTTTCAGAATCCGGGAATTGATATAGGTGATGTCTCCGAAAGAAGAGCCTTGAGGAAAAGTTTAAAGTGTAAGAATTTCCAATGGTACCTGGACCACGTGTACCCAGAAATGAGAAGATACAATAACACCATTGCATACGGGGAGGTAATTAAGACCATCCATACATGCTGTCAGCTTGGATAGCTATGCATTAGGCTGGGGACTGCTTTGATGGGGGGAAAATAGAGAATAGAGTCATTCATTCCTTCATTCATTCATTCAAGAGTGGTTTTGGAGGTGCAGGACCTGGAAGCAAGGCTCTCACCAGCTGGTGGGGGGACAGCATAATAAATGTTACGGTGAGGGCATGGACCAAAGGTTCTGGTGGCCTGTTCTGCCAAAGGGTATGGAGTACATGATCAGTTCTGTTTGGGACATTCTGATTTTGAGGTTCCCTGGGACCTGTAAGTGGGACATAGAGCAGGAAGTTGTATATAAAGACAGGCAGTGACTGGAGCTGTCCATTGCTCCGTGCTGGGGGTCAGAGCCCATTGTCACCAACAAAAGGGTAGATGCTCTTATATTTTCTAGGATGAGATGACATCACCTCTCTAAACATTACAACAGATTGACTTTTCTCTGATTACAAATGCCATAAATATGCATTTTAGAAAATTTTGAAAATAATAAGAATAGCAGTCAACACTTGCAGAGTGCTTTTGATGTGCCAGGCACTATTCTAAGTGCTTTTCACATATGAACTCATTTTACCCTGTCCTTATGAGGTAGAAGTATTATTTCCATTTTGTTGATCAGAAAGCTGAAACTTAGATGAAGTGAATAAATTACCTAAGGTCTCAGCCTGTAAGTCATGAAGCCAGCTTTGGACATAGGCATTCTGATTTTCTAGATAATATGTACAGTTTGATGTATGGTCTTTACTCTGTGCACATGTGTGTGTGTGCACATGTGTGTGTGTGCACATTTTTTAATATTCACACATACATGCTTTTTATTAACATCTATATGTATGTAATTACTAAAGCCATGGTATACACATGCATAATAATTTGAAATATTAATGCTCTACAAAGAATATTTTCCTGTGTCATTTCTGCAACATTAATAATGATTATGTATGATGCTACCTTTGTGTATGCTGTGTTTTGCTTGAAAATATAGACATTTATGTTGTTTCCATTTTTAAAATATCATCAGCACCCCTGCTGAGAACATGGTTGTACATAAGCCTTGTTGCCTCCTTGCGTTGTGTGTTTAGACAAGGAATCATTGGCATAGAGTCGGACCAGGGCACAGGCAGCCAGCTGCACTGGACCCAGTGGAGACACCCACTAGCTGCAGCATTTGGGCTTCTTCCCAGGCCTGCCTGCAGCTGCCCTATGACAACCAGGCTGAAGCTAAGAAGGCTCTCTAAGAATTAGAGTGTTTCCTTTTTTTATAACTGTGTATTTTCCTACTTTGTGCCTGATGCCTTTTGTAGGAAGTAAATCAGCTGCTGGTTAAACCATGGGGGGTGTGGGCGAGGTGTCCCTCCTGAGCCGGAGTCTGGAATGGGAAGCATGTGTCTTGCGTGAGGGCAGTCTATATAATGATTAGGGATGTGTGAAGATTAGGGACCTGTGAAGGCTGAATCCACTGCACAGGTCTGTGGGGAAGATTTAGGACAGTAGCTGGTACCCAGCAGTGACAACTAACAGGTCCAAATTGCTTTGTCTTTTCTTGTTCCAAACAAAAGCATGGTTTGGGGGTTTTTGGGTTATCAAAGTAAGATCAAACAAAAGGAGTCCTCGAGAAATAACAGGCAGTGAATGGATTATTCGTAAGACAGTTGGGTGAATTGCCTAGCTCTGTGGAGAAGAAAACAATTTAAATTCTTACAGCTCACCATATCCTGAAGGGTATTTCAGATGAACTACAGAGTTAAATGAAAGAAACGAAACCATAATAGAACCATACGGAAATGCGTGTGCATCTGATCTCTGAAAGGGCCAGAGCTTTCTAAGAATGAAAGCCCTGGAAGAAAATGCAAAGGAAATGGATAATGGATCTCGGCTTATAAATATTAAAATAATCTATACATCAACTGAATAGAGACACTGTATGTCAAACTAGAAGTATGTATGCCATAAATAGTATAGATGAATGGATAATACAGTTAATATATCATGAGCTCTGTGAATTGATTTAAATTTTAATAATTAATTTAAATAAGAAAATAAAACATCCCCAAAGAAAAATAAAGTACGAGAGGAAACACAAATGGTTGGAAAACACATGAAAAATTTTCATGGATTTCATCATCAAAGAAATTAAAATACGTCTTAAAATACATTGAGGTAGGTTTTTTTTCTTCTACCAAATAAACAAAGATTCACTTTTGGAATATATGTTGGCACTCTGCCAGCCAGATCTTGGTTATATGAAAAACCACAAATCCTCTGGTGAGAGTGTAAATTGAAACAAGCTTTTAAAAAGCAATTTGAACCACATGTATTAAAAGTCTTAATGATAGTCACACTTTCATCTCCACTCTTATCCCAAGCAAATAATTTGAAATGAGGACAAAGATTTGAGAGTAATTGTTCATCTCAGTGACTTTTTTTTTTTGGACCAAAAATTTTGAATCTAACTTGAAAGTTAGTTAAATATACCATACTAATAGTTTGAAGTATTTTGCAGCCATTTCAAAAGATGTGTACAAAACTTTAATGACATGAGAAAAATGTTGATATAATTTTTTTTAAGATTTTATTTATTTTTTGACAGAAAAAGAGAGAGAGCACAAGCAGGGGTAGCAGCAGGCAGAGGAAGAGGGAGAAGCAGGCTCCCCACTGAGCAGGGAGCCCGATGCGGGGCTCGATCCCAGGACCCCAGGATCATGACCTGAGCCGAAGGCAGAAGCTTAACTGACTGAGCCACCCAGGCAGCCCTGCTACAATTCTTAAGAAGCAAAAAGTCTGGGTGGTTTAGTCGGTTGAGCATCCAACTCTTGATTTCTGCTCAGGTCATTATCTCAGGGTTGTGAGATCAAGACCTGTTTAGGGCTCTGCACTGGGCTTGGAAACTGCATGAGATTCTTTCTCGCCCTCTCCCCCTGCCCCCCCCCCCGCCCCATGCGAGCACATACATGCACACTCTCTCTCTCTCTTAACAAAAAAAAAGGATTATAAAATTGGATTGGCTACTATTTTAGATTGGAAGCAAGTAGGAAAATAGCAATGGGGAAATGGAGTTGATAGTTGTGGTTACTTCTGTCAGCGAGACAGGCAGTCTTTCTGGTGGTACTTTGTCATGCTTTCCCAATTATTGCTGATGTTTATATGATAATATTATAATTAGAAAAAAAGTATTAAAAAACAAAGAATAAAAATGGGAAAATTCAAGAAGATGGCAAGGGCACAGTTCCACAGGCTGTGCACTGAACAGCTCCAGGGCCTGCCATTCACATGAAGGACAGTGTAAATGATGTCTCTGGAGCTGAACAATGGGGTGACCATGGAGTCAACATAGAGATCATGGTCTGATTTTTGGAGGAGAGAAGACTTTTGTTTTTGCAAATCTCTCTCTCTCTTTTAAGTAATAAATTCAATGCACACACTCTATAGAAAATAAAAAGATGAAACAAAACTTATTCCAAATCCCAATTCCCAGATATGATCCATGTTAACATTTTAGGGCATTCGCCTCTATTACTCCTTCTCTGCTTGCTGAGTTCCATATGCTAAAATAGATTTCTTATGGACTATAACATTAAATGAAAGAAATCAAACTAATCAAATTCAGTTTGGTAACAAAATTTGCCGTTATTTGGACAACTTTATTTCTAACACTCACTCCTACTGGTTCTTTTCACCACACCAGGCCCCCAAGCAGTGGGAAAAAGGAAGGCAGAGTGAATATCGTACTATATTTGCAATTTATGTCCTTCGTTTTTCATGTACAGTTCTGTTTGAGAGTCTTTCCCCAGGCCAATGAATATTTCTGGGTTTAATGTTCCTTGCTCTTTCCCAAGTTTTTAGCTTGCTTGTTTTTTGGCTTTAAAAAAATCTTTCTAGTCATGTGAATTGTGTATGTCTTGTTCTTAATTGCATTATGGTAATGTTTTTTTGTTAGGTTTTTATTTAAATCACAGTTAGCATACAGTGTAATATTAGTTTCGAGTGCACAATTTAGTGATTCAACACTTCCATACAACCCTGGGTGTTCATCATGACAAATGGGCTCCTTAACCACAGTCACCTATTTCACCCCTCCCCCCACCCCTTTCCCCTCCAGTAACCATCAGTTTGTTCTCTATAGTCTGTTTCTTGGTTTGCCTCTCTCTCTTTTTTTCCTCTATGCTCATTTGTTTTGTTTCTTAAATTCCACATATGAGTGAAATCATCTGGTATTTGTCTTTCTCTCACTGACTGATTTCGCTCAGCATTATACTCTCTAGCTCCATACACATCATTGCAAATGGCAAGATTTCATTCCTTTTTGTGGATGAATAATATTTCATTGTATATATACCACATCTTCTTGATCCATTCATCAGTCAGTGGACACTTGGTCTGTTTCCATAATTTGGCTATTTAGATAATGCTGCTATAAATATCAGGGTGCATGTATCCCTTTGAATTTGTATTTTTGTATTCATTCGGTAAATGCCTAGTAATGCAAAGATGCTCACCATCAGTCATCATCAGGGAAATACAGATCAAAACTACGATGAGCTATCACCTCACACCCATCAGAATGGCTAAAATCAACAACACAAGAAACAACAGGTGTTGGCGAAGTTGAGGAGACAGGGGAGCCCTATTATGCTGTTGGTGGGAATGCAAGCTAGTGCAGCCACTGTGGAGAAGTTTGGAGGTTCCTCAAAAAACTAAAAATAGATCTACCCTACGATCCAACAAATGCACTAATGTTTTTTTAAAAAATTCATCTCTGAGTCTCCATAATGAAGGGTCAAGTGGTATTAATACGAGAACATTAACACACTTTCTCCTGACGGCTTCATCGACTTCTCAGTCTTTGTTAACATTAACTGGGATTTTAGATGCAAACATTATTTTACTTTATTTACATTTCATACCTTTCAGAATAGCTTTTCAGTTAAATTCATTTCAGTGACAAAATTTGTGATTCTTCAGACAATTATATTTTAATGATTATAATGCTCCTCGTTCTTTTGGCCACACACAGACCCCAGCACAGTTGCAAAGCTAGGCAGGAACCTTTGAGTGGGTGTCAGTCCCAGTGTTTCTGCCTCACACAACAATAATGGTGCCTACACCCACTTAGACAGGAAGTCATTTTCCCTTGATTTTTTTTCTTTGAATTTTTATTTAAATTCTAGTTAGTTAACATACAGTGCAATATTGGTTTCAGGAATAGAATTCAGTGATTCATCCCTTACATACAACACCCAGTGCTCATCATAACAAGTGCCCTCCTTAATACCCATCACCCACATAACCCATCCCCCACCCACCTCCCTCCATCAACCCTCAGTTTGTTCTCTGTCATTAAATCTCTTAGGGTTTGTCTCCCTCTCTCTTTTCCCCCCTCCCCTATGTTCATCTGTTTTGTTTCTTAAAGTCCACATATGAGTGAAATCATATGGTATTTGTCTTTTTCTGACTGACTTATTTCACTTAACATAATACACCCCAGCTCCATCCGTGTCTTTGCAAATGGCGAGATTTTATTCTTTTTGGTGGCTGAGTAAATACCACATCTTCTTTATCCATTCATCAGTCGATGGACGCTTGGACTGCTCCCACAGTGTGGCTGTTGTTGATGATGCTGCTATAAACATCAGGATGCATGTACCCCTTTGAATCTGTATTTTTGTGTCTTTGGGTAAATACCTAGTAGTGCAGTTGCTGGGTCATAGGGTAGTTCTATTTTTTAACTTCCTGAGAAACCTCCAAACTGTTCTCCAGGGTGGCTGCACCAGTTTGCATTCCCACCCACAGTGCAGGAGGGTTCCCCTTTCTCCGCATCTTTGCTAACACTTGTTGTTTCTTGTGTTGTTAATTTTAGCCATTCTGATGGGTATGAGGTGATATCTCATAGCTTTGATTTGTAGTTCCCTGATGATGAGTGATACTGAGCATCCTTTCATGTGTCTGTTGTCCATCTGGATGTCTTCTTTGGAAAAATGTCTATTTGTGTCTTCTACCCATTTTTTAACTGGATCATTTGTTTTTCATTTCCCTTGATTTTTAAATGTTTATTTACCTCTATTAGCTGGACTGTATTAAAATAATTTTTAAAGAAACACATGTGGATACTTGATATCTTGACTCTCCCATGTATGAGATAATTGCTTTTCCACATGTAAAAGCAACTCGGTGTGCACAAAAACATTCACCCCCAAATCTTTTGCTCACATTCCATGGTTGACTCATATTCTCCTTGTGGCCTGAAGACCCCTAGTTTGGTTTTATTCATCTTTTTCTCTTTTACTGTTATTTATGTGAAAGACAATACACATATGCATAAAGCATACATGTGTAGCATAATAATATAAAGCGAAAAACTACCTGGGTAAAAACTAGAACATTTCCAGCAATATTTCCACTTACCGTTGGTTTGCAAGTCCCTCTTCTTAGTGTCTGAACCTGCAGATGGGGTGAAGATGTTCTCCTTGCTGTCCCGGCAAACTCAGTATGGTACCAGCTCTCCTTTTGTCTAACTCTCCAGACCATGGACTATTTCAGGGCAAGGACTGTTTTGTTTATCTTTGCATTCCTTAAACTTAGCACAGTCCCAGGCATGTAGCAGGCCCTCCATAAATATTTATTAAGTCCCTGAATAATAGACTTATTTACATAAACATCAGAAACAAAATTTAAAAGGCTAGCGTTCTGAAATTATTATATGGAACGAATATGCCTTAAAAACAATGTCCTTAATATATAAAGAGCTCTTACAAATCTACAGTAAAACCACTTGAGATCCCAATAGGGAAATAAACAGATAATTCTCAAAAAGGGAAATAATTGCTAAACATGAAACATTCCAATTTACTATTAATTGTAAATTCATAAAAGCAAGATGTCTTTCTTCACCTCTCAACACAATATTTTTTATTACCTGTAATTTTTATTTTATACTTATTTTAAAAGCTTCATTAGGCTTCATTAGGCACATTTTATCATGTTGCTGTTGTACAGACATAAAAAGGAAATATAAGCAAAGTACATTGGTAGAGGTATTTCTAAGATTTCATTGCTTTCAACATCTTAACTCTTCTGAATTACTTTTTGACTCAAAAGTTGTTTGAATTTTTCCATGTAATTTATCCTTTGCATCATTGAAGGCATTAACAATGAACATTTCCTCAACGCATCTAAGAAAGAACTAAAATATGGTGTGGGGCTCCTAAGGTGGCTTTATAGTTCCTTGGAGATCATTGCTTGGGACTCGTTGTGCAACATGTCTGATTCATCACTTCTACCCCTCTGCACAAATTTTTGGAAACTTGGGTTGAAAACAGTACTCCACCACTTTCTTTAGAATTTTTCTTCCGAGCAGCTTTCCTTTTTTTCTCCTCCAGCTTTATTGAGATATAATTGACATATAACATTTTATAAGCTTAAAGTGTTCAACATGTTGGTTTGATACAGTTCCATATTACAAAGTGATTACTGCCATAGAGTTAGCTAACACCTCCATTACATCCCATAATTACCATCTCTTTTTGTGGTAAGAACATTTAAGATGATCTATCCACTTAGCAATTTGAGTATGTAATATTGGCTGTAATCACCATGCTGCACATTAGGTTCCCCAAAATCTAGGTTTGGAAGTTTGTGTACTTTGACCAACACAATGTTTTTAAATGGTGAAACTCAGGACTAGTAATTTATTTACATACCTTGTGGTTGGGAATAGAAATTAGTTCAAAGTTTCCAGAAAGCAATCAGACAGCATATTTTAAGAACATTAAGGGATCCATACTTTTTGCTACTGTAATCCCAGTTCTCAGATTTTTTTTTAAGATTTTTTTATTTATTCATTTGAGAGAGGAAGAAAGAGCAAGCGAGAGCAGGGGGAGGGTCAGAGAGAGAGGGAGAAGCAGACTCCCTGTTGAGCAGGGAGCCCAACGTGGGGCTCCATCCCAGGACCCCGGGATCACAACCTGAGCCAAAGGCAGACGCTTAACCGACTGAGCCACCCAGGTGCCCCTCTCAGATTATTTTCTTGAGAAAACCTGAAATGGGAACAAAGCTTTACATGCAAAGTTTCTCATTACCGTCAAAAGTGAACAAAACTAAATTGTCTCAAAATTGGGAAAAATTAACTGATTGTGGGAAAGGATTGTGAACAATTGTTACTTCTGCATTTTTCAAGATATCTCAGTAAGATGGTATTATTTTTATAATCTTTAAAAAAAAAAAAAAAACAGGCATTAAAACTCTGCTCAGTTAATGTCCACAATAGCCAAACTATGGAAAGAGCCAAGATGTCCATCGACAGATGAATGGATAAAGAAGATGTGGTATATATACACAATGGAATATTATGCAGCCATCAAAAGGAATGAGATCTTGCCATTTGCAACGACGTGGATGGAACTGGAGGGTGTTATGCTGAGTGAAATAAGTCAATCAGAGAAAGACATGTATCATATGACCTCACTGATATGAGGAATTCTTAATCTCAGGAAACAAACTGAGGGTTGCTGGAGTGGTGGGGGGTGGGAGGGATGGGGTGGCTGGGTGATAGACATTGGGAAGGGTATGTGCTATGGTGAGCACTGTGAATTGTGCAAGACTGTTGAATCACAGTTCTGTACCTCTGAAACAAATAATGCAATATATGTGAAGGAAAAAAAAAGAAGATAGCAGGAGGGGAAGAATGAAGGGGGGAAAATCGGAGGGGGAGACGAACCATGAGAGACGATGGACTCTGAAAAACAAACTGAGGTTTCTAGAGGGGAGGGGGTGGGGGGATGGGTTAGCCTGGTGATGGGTATTAAAGAGGGCACGTTCTGCATGGAGCACTGGGTGTTATGCACAAACAATGAATCATGGAAAACTACGTCCAAAACTAATGATGTATGGTGATTAACATAACAATAAAAAATTTTAAAAAAAATTCTGCTCAGTTGTCAGAACCTAGACAAAACTTGAGCACACCAAAGCAAAGTGCCCCTTGCCTCTCTTCTTGATTTATCCCTGATTAGTTTAGTTTCCATGGTGAATAGAACCTGGAGAGGGCTGAGTATATATGGATAAGACCAACAGCATTGGCATTTTCCCACTGGTTGAGATTGCAGCATGGTGGGTGTGATGGACACCAAAGCAGAATCACAGAACTCCTGGAGGTTCCAGTTAGACAAATTCTTCCATGTTCCCAAAGAGATGTGCCTCGCTGGGTTCAGGGGTTTTGTCTTGGGGACTTTGGTGCCTGGCATAGTGTAGGCATCAGTAAGTATTTTTGGAATATATAAATAAATGTTACCAAGGCTTTTCATGATGGCAAGGTTTTCGTTTGCTTTTTGGATTATTGTTTTTGATGCCTCCATGTCAGTAATGACTTCAGAAGCTGACCTATGATTCCCAGGGTGATTAAAACCTGTGTTGGTGTCGAGGCCCACTTTGGATAACCAGTGGGTAACTAGTGTGTACCTATGTCCAAACATTCCCTGAGCCCCTCTTTTGTGCTGGGGATGGGGTAGCTGTGTGTAAGCAGAGGCTGGAGGTGTCCCAGGCAGAGGGCTGGTGCCCACACCATCCATTGAAGGACTTGGTCTTTCTTGCGAAAATGATCACCTCACAAATTTGAGCAGCCTTGGTCCTTACATGGGGGCGGGGTCATGTGGCCTTTGCATCGAGAAATCGGGGCCAGGGCATGGCAGGACAAGGGTTGGGTAGCAGAAGTTCCAGCCCATGAGCTCTGATGGGGGATATCTTGCCTATTTCCGCAGCTTCGAAACAACAAGGCGAAAGACGTCTGCTTGGACCAGGGGCCACTGGAGAACCACACAGCAATATTGTACCCGTGCCATGGCTGGGGGCCCCAGGTAGGAGCCCATATCTGACCAGGAGGAGAGTAAAAGCACCAGGGATTCGTGGGACTTGCGGTGACATCTGCTGTCCCCTATTTGTAGCTGTTATGTGTTTTGAAATGTTAAGAAGGTGGGGGCCTTTCTGGTTGTTTCCGTATAACACTTGGGGAAAGATTCATGAGTGTTTGCATCAGCACAGATATGAAGGGGACCAATGGGCATATTGCATACTGAATAGAGAATGTGAATAAATTGCAGAGTCATTTGCAAATAGGCGAGGGTACATGTGCATACATTGCAGTTATAATCAAATATGCCTGAAGAAATAGCCGATTTCCTCATGAGAACATGCTCAACACGCTCATCCTGAAAGGTCGACAGCAGGTGGGTGGGAAGTATGACCAGGTCTGTAAGCACCAGCACAAGAGCCCAGGGCTGACTCTGTAGGAGGAGCGTGCTTGCAGTGACATTTCAGAGAACACACATGTTCTCTGGTCTCTCGGGAGAATGCACAAGATAACCCAAAATGGCAGAACGACCAACCAACAAAGTAAAAACCGAACCTGGTAAATGAATTTCCTTTGGCAACTTCGTGCTAACCCAAGGTGTGTGCGTGCGCATAAAGACCTTAGCAGAAAGTCTCTATGATTGGGAGAACAAATATCCAAAAATGTCATTAGACATGACATTCATAAAAAATTTAAAACATTTTTTTATATCAACTCATAGTAATAAAAGGCCGGCTATAGATGGGGAAAACCTTTATAATTCAACCCCGGAGGAACGCCAGACAGGTGACTCTAATCCAGACTTACCAGTTCTCTCTCTGGGTCTCAGCTGGCTCATCTGTAAGAGGAAGACACTGGACAAAATGCCCTGTAAGCACCCTTGGTCTTGCTCATGTTCTGTGAACACACACATTCAGTGGCAAATCCACACTCATCGGTCACGAGTACACACACACGTGCATTCATAAAGGCTCGTAGGTTTTCTCTGCTTGTGGTACTTTGCTTCCCACGAAGCCAAGACCTAGAAAGAGAATTGCATTCTCTCTACTATCACAGCAGGTGGTTCTGAGGGTCCAGACCCTCAGCCTCCCTTCAGTGTGTGACACATCTGGAAGGTGGGTAACAGGTACTGTGGGAGGGGTCAAATCCTGTGCTCCTTTCGTCCCTGCGGCCCCTCTGGAAGGTAGACAGGCAGCATGAGGAAACTGAGGCACGGGGGGGCCCAGTGCTGGCGAGCAAAGCAGACTAGAATCCAGGCCCTCCAGCATGACCAAAGCGCTTTAAATTCAAACCCAACCCGTGTACTTCAAGATGATTTACTGAGCCCTACCACCCACAATTGGCCAGAAGTGCCCTTGGGTAGCAGGAGAAGGATGGGGAAGCCTAGACCTGCTCCACTTCCTGATGGGTCTCCGCAGGGAAGGGGGGCTTTTGCACTAAAGGCTGTAGGGTCTAAAGAATCCAGGGAGGGTCTTTTTTTTTTTTTTTGAAGATTTTATTTATTTATTTGAGAGAGTGAGAGAGAGCACGAGCAAGGAGGACAGCAAGAAGCAGGCTCCCCACTGAGCAGGGAGCCCGACTCAGGGCTTGATCCCAGGATCCTGGGATCATGACCTGAGCTAAAAGCAGACGCTTAACCAACTGAGCCACCCAGGTGCCCCCAGAGTGTCTTTATTCATTTGTTCATTCACTCAGCAAGTTCTGTCTTGATCGCTTGCTGCAGACGCTGGTCATGAGTATATGCAGCAATGGATAAGATACAGTCCCTGCTCTCAGATGGTTTGCACTTGAGGAAAGAGACAAGTAAAGAGGCAGGAAATTCTACAGCATAGTAAGTGTGGAAAGAGCAAGATAGCTTGGAGTGTTGGGAGACAGAAGGTAGCCCAGTTTGGCTGGTGCCCAATGCAAGAGGGAAGGACCCGCCAAGAGATAAGGCAGAAGGGGATGGAGAGGCGGATCTCCCAAAGCCTGATAAGGCAGTTAGGCTCCAAGGCACTGGTCCTTGCCTTCAGTGTGTGGCCAAATCCCCTGAAAGGCTTGTGAAAGCACCACCTTCTGGGCCCTAGGCCCAGAGCTTCCGAATCAGGGACCCTGGGGTGGGAGCTGAGATTTCACATTTCCAGCAAGTTCCCAGATGATGCCAGGATGCTGGCCTGGGAAGTTTGGGACTTGACACTATGATATGCTTAGATTGGGCTTAGTTTGAACTCCTGGAGGAGTTCAGAGAGGGGTGGATACTGAGGAGACATCCTGGCCTTTGGCTCCTGCTGACTTTCCAGCTTTTCCAGCACAGGGTCTGTGATCACTGTTGGGGGAGATACGAGGAGTGGCTTATACTTAACTCCCAGGTTTCTCTGTCCAGTGCTCTGAATAGGTAATATTTGAACTAAGTACTTAGTAACCGTGGCATCAAAGACACTAGCGCATTTAGATACCCTCATAATCAAAACCTGGCCTGTGAAGCTGACCTTGGGAATGCGGAAGGAAACAAAGCTGGTCTAAAGAATGTCTCCTGGACATCTGAGGGCTTCCCCATATGGCTCCAAGCAGTGACTTTTTACCTGGGTGATTCCCGGGAAGATTTTCTAAGCCACTCGGTATGTTCTCAGCTGAATCTAAGGACCAGCACATTGAAGTGGCTCCATCTGCCTTCCGTGGTCCTGTGACACTTCCCCCAGGGCCCTCTGCCCTTTCCTTCTGCCCCGGCCACTCAGAACATCCACGAACACCCTTGTGATGCTCCCAGCTCTGGGACAGACCCCTGTGAACTTGACCTCCCTCACCCTTCTGTCCAGAGCCTTCACTCATCTGGTGTCCCCTGCCTCAGAGTCCCACCAGTCACCTGCTAAACAGATCCAGCCTGCAGATGGCCACCTGTCAGCTCCTTGCCCACACTGGAGCCAGTCAGCAGGCTCTCCTCTCCCCGTGGCTTATACAGCCGACGACCAGCACCTTTGATGGAAAGTAATGAATTCATCTTTCACCGGGTCCACCTGCATGCAGAGCTTTTCCAGATGAATGCTCCTTCCATTTAGTTGATGATGGAATGGCAAACCAAAGTAGGCGGCTCACTGCTTCACCCCCAACTCTGGGATGAATACCTATGAGTGGGCCCTGGTTGTTTCCCATCAGCTGATTTTTTTTTTTAAGTAAGTCTAATGTTGTTTTCCGTTCTACTACATGTTCTGAATTAAGAAGGCACCCTTGGTACCTCTCTGCAGCTGCTAGTCTGCCCCCCACCCTGGCTCATCAAGGTTTCTCCCCCTCCTTCCAGAGCCGCTCCCTCTGAGCTAGGAGTGAGCCCCCCACCCCCACCCCACCAGTCACGTGCCTTGGCATCTTTCTGAACCGCTTCGGAAAGTGCTGTGGGCAAACAGAGACTGAATCGAAGCTCCCGTAACAAGGCAACTCCCAGAAGAAGGAGTTGGTGTTCCACGGACACTGTTAGCTTAATTAATGGACTCTCTGTTGTAATTTATTATCAAACAGCAATTAAACGGAGATAAAATAAGCACTGAGGAGGGTAATTTCCCGTCTTGCAACATGTGTTTGTCAACAAAATGGAAACGGTTCCTCGCCCCGCGTTGAGCCCACTCGCAAGTGTCTGTCGGCGAGCCGGTGACCAGCCTTGCCCTTGCCTGGTTACTAATTTGGATGAGACACATACCCTTTTCTTTTTTGAGCCTAAGTTTTTATTTAAAAATAGGAAGTCAGAGATGCGGCAACAGCCTTTGAGGTCAGCTTGAACTCATTTAGAACGGGGGTCTTGTCTCAGGAGAGCCGAGGCTCCCCCACCCCGCTGGGGGAGCAGCAGGTGGGTCTCCAAGCAGGAGCGGTCCATGGCATTCTGGTTTTAGTAACGCATTCCATCCTATCAGGTGGATAGTGACCCTCCCCCAGTGTGGATAATGAGATGCAGGTAGTGCCATGACACTTTTTAAACGAAAGTCCTGTGACTCCTGGGCATGAATTCTGGGCTGTGACATCTGGTGCATTGTGGGGAGCGTGTCTCCCTCGCTGGATTCCCCATATGTTCGCTAGCCCACAGCAAGGCCTGGTGGTAGGACTTGAAGCAAGCATGGACACAGCGCTAGAGAAGAGGTAAGAGCGAAGGCGTGGAGGTCATGGGGGTGGTGGCGAACGGCGTGTTGGAGGGACAGTGACATAGTTGGCAGAGGCAGGTGGCTCAGGCCAGCCAGTAGGGTCCAAGTGTTGAGAGCCCTGGGTGCCAGGATGCGGAGCCCGGGCTCGCCACCCAGCATCTTGGGTGTGGTCCCCAGAACCATGAGCCCCCGGCCGTGCATGACAAGTGCTGACGGATCCCTGAGTCCAACCCCAGACCTACCTGAAGATGGAGCCTGGGAATCTACATTGTTGTCTCTGAGTGTTTTCCTTTTTCAATCAATACCATCGATTGAGCACCTATTTAGGGGCTCTTCATGTTAGACTTACAGGTAGTCATCAGATGTCTGCATCTGCCCCAGACTATGCCTACTGTCCTAACCTAATTCTTTTTTTTTTTTTTTTAAGATTTTACTTATTTATTTGAGAGAGAGAGAGAGCATAAGCAGAGGGGAGAGGGAGAAGCAGACTCCCCACTGAGCAGGAAGCCTGACTTGGGGCCCCATCCCAGGACCCCAGGATCATGACCCAAGCCAAAGGCAGATGCTTAACCAACTGAGCCACCCAGGCGCCCCCAACCTAATTCTATTTTTAATTTATCATTTCTATTTCAGCTTTTATATAATTGGGTTTTTTTTTCATTTTTAAGGTAAATTCATTGTTAATAGAGTTTTGCAAGTTTTAACAAACACACACCATCAAGTTAACCCCACTGCAATCAAGATCTAGAGAGGTTCTGCCATCCTCCAAACTTCCCTTGAACCCCTTCGTAGTTAATCCCTCCCTCTGCCCCCAAATTTGAGGCCTAACCTCACTGGAAGTGTTCACGGAACCACGTACCCAGCCACAATTCTGACACGGGTTCCTCCCCGCGCCAAGGACCAT